GCAGGCATAGCTCTGCCTCCACTGATGAATAGGAAGAGAAGGGCTGGAACTCTACAGTGATTAGAAGCTGCCAGATGGCTTGCAGTAAGGGACTGAGTCTGAGAGGAACACTGGAAGGAGCAGCAGCTCAGCTTCTACACTGGCCCAAGACACCCGGCATCTTCCTCTGTCTTTTCTTCCTCCCCTCTGCTGCCCCTCCTCTCAGCTGAAGGATCGTTCATGACGTGGTGGCTTCCCACACAGAGAGAGTGGTGGCCTGTGCTGTGCCCAGATGCTCCTAGGTGGCAGTGTGCCCTAGATGGCTGCCTAGTTTGCTAAGTGGAAGCACCGGCCCTGCCCACCATAACCCGTTGAGGCATGTACTCCACTAGACCTCTGAAGGTATGTTGTGGTATCTGGCACCAAGCCATCAGTAGCAGATCCTTTAAGTCCAGTAAGTTGCAAGGTGCGGGTCTCCATGGATCCGACTTGTCTATCCAATGCATCCCACAGATTCTTAGATTTTGAACTAGAGAATTTGAAGGCCAAATCAGCACCTAAAACGTAATGTTGTGTTCTTCAAACCATTCTTGAATTCACCAGACTAGACCACATTCTTCCATTACTCCATGGTCCAGTTTTGATGCTCACATGCCCATTGCAGGTTACATTTCCTTGTGGACAAGGGTCATCATGGGCACCCTGACTGGTCTGCGGCTACGTAGCCCCATACACGACAGACTGCGATACCCATTTTTTCTGCTGTCAACACATCAAATTCAGAGACAACATGTTTACTTGCTACCTAATATACCCATGACTTTCAGATGCCATTGTAACGAGATAATCAATGTTATTCACTTAACCTGTCAGTGGTCATAAAGTATCTATCTATCTATCTATCTATCTATCTATCTATCTATCTATCTATCTATCTATCTTCGCCCATAGTGTATAATTGAGGAAACCACTTATGCCCCAGAAGATTTTACCCCCTTCATGACCAGGGCAATTTTTACTAATCGACACTGTGCTATTTTACCTGGAAATTGCTTGGTCATGCAACACTGTACCCAAAACAAATGTATATCTTTTTTCTCACACAAATAGAGCTTTCTTTTGGTGGTATTTTATCACCACCTGTTTTTTTTTATTAACAAAATGAAAAAAAAAAACAAAATAAATGAAAATTTTGAAAAAAAAACTTTTACTTTCTGCCATAAAACATCCAATAATAAAAAAATTCTTCATAAATTTAGGACAAAATGTATTTAGCTACATGTCTTTAGTAAAAAAAAAATCCCAATAAGTGTATATTGATTAGTGTGCCAGAAAGTTATAGGATTTAACATCTATGGTATAAATACTCAATGTTTTGTATACTACTATTGGCAGTGATCAGTGACTGTGGGACTGTGCAATCTGACACTAACTGATACCGGATGGGAACTGAGTAACTGACGCTGACATCTCCAGTGACACTAATGCATTGATCAGTGATAATACTATACACTGTCACTGTGCTAATGACACTGGCTGGGAAGGGGTTAACATCTAGGAGCAATCAAAGGGTTAACTGTGTGCCTAACATTGTGTAATGTGTACTAATTTTACTAATAGATGTGACTGTGTTTTCTCCCTGCTGTGTACAGAGCCCTGTGTTAGTAAACACAGAGCTCTGTACTATCATTCTCTAAACCGATCAGCAGGTCCCGACCTGCTAATTGACATGTGCTATAGCATATGGTAGCACAGATGGGGTGGCGAGCACAAGCGCACATTCCCTACCCAAAATGCTGGATCACATGCAGGGCCTCCGTGCCACAGTAAAAAGGTGGTGAGTGGTCTGCAAGTGGGAAAACACATAGGAATATTATATACACCATTTTGCCAAAAGTATTGGGCCGCCTACCTTTACAGTCTTAGTCCGTGGGGGGTTCAATACTGAGTTGGCCCGCCCCTTGCAGCTATAACAGCTTCAACTCTTCTGGGTAGGCTGTCCACAAGGTTTAGGAGGGTGTCTATGGGAAGGTTTGGCCATTCTTCCAGAAGCACATTTGTGAGGTCAGGCACTGATGTCAGACGAGAAGGCCTGGCTCGCAGTCTCCGCTCTGTTTGTGTTCTGTCGGATTGAGGTCAGGTCTCTGTGCAGGCCAGTCAAGTTCCTACACCCCAAACTCGCTCATTCATGTCTTTATGGACCTTGCTTTGTGCACTGGTGTGCAGTCATGTTGGAACAGGAAGGGGCCATCCCCAAACTGTTCCCACAAAGTTGGGAGCATGAAATTGTTCGAAATGTCTTGGTATGCTGACGCCTTAAGCGTTCCCTTCACAGGAACTAAGGGGCCAAGCACAACCCCTGAAAAACAATCCCACACCATAATTCCCCCTCCACCAAACTTTACACTTGGCACAATGCAGCCAGACACGTCCATTGGATTGCCAGACAGGGAAGCGTGATTCTTCACTCCAGGGAACACGTCTCCACTGCTATAAAGTCCAGTGGCAGCATGCTTTATACCACTGCATCCAATGCTTTGCATTGCACTTGGTGATGTAAGGCTTGGATGTGGCTGCTTGGCCATGGAAACCTATTCCATGGAGCTCTCTACGCACTGTTGTTGTGCTAATCTGAAGGCCACATGAAGTTTGAAGGTCTTTAGCTATTGACTCTGCGGACAGTTGGTGACTTCTGCGTACTGTGCGCTTCAGCATGCGCTGACCCCGCTCTGTCATTTTACATGGCCTACCACTTGGTGGCTGAGTTGCTGTTGTTCCCAGTTGCTTCCACTTTGTTACAATACCACTAACAGTTGACCGTGGAATATTTAGTAGCCAGGAAATTTCACAGATGGACTTATTGCACAGGTGGCAACCTATCACGGTACCACGCTTGGAGTCACTGAGCTCCTGAGAGCGACCCATTCTATCACAAATTTTTGTAGAAGCAGTCTGCATGCCTAGATGCTTGATTTTATACATCCATGGCCATGGGGGTGATTGTAACACCTAAATCCAATGATTTGGAGCAGCACAGTGACTAAATGGTTAGCACTTCCACCTGGCAGTACTAGAGTCGTTGGTTCAAATCCCAGCCATGGCACCTCCTGCCTGGAGTTTGCATGTTCTCCCTGTGCCTGTGTGGGTTTCCTCCCACACTCCAAAGACATGCTGGTAGGTGAATTAGATCCTGTCTAAATTGGCCCTAGTATGTATATGTATGATGTGAGTTAGGGACCTTAGATTGTACGCCCCTTGAGGGTTAGGGACTGATGTGAATGTACAATATATATGTAAAAGCGCTGCATAAATTGACAGCATTATAAAAGTACATGAAATAAAAAATACATTTTGGAGGGGTGTTCCAATACTTTTGACAATATAGTCTATATTTATAAAGTTTTTTACAATATTAGTACAAGTTAACATTAATCACTTTCACATGTGCATCTAAGTAAAAATAGGTAATACAGCTGCTCCCTATTCTAAAACTGCTTGCTAACCACCTGTATGCTGCCAGTCATATGCTCTAAATCTCTGCACTGGAACAACCATGAACATCAGGAAAGTTAGGGAAAAGTTGAGTACTCATCTGTCTTCCAACAGTAGGGTCCTCAGTTTGAGTCTCGACGACTATCTGCATGGAGTCTGTATGTTCTCCCTATGTTTGCTTGGGTTTCCACCCTCCAAGGACATGGTGGAAGATTATTGGGTCAACTGAGTTGCACCCAAGATGGCTGCCTCCCCTCTAAGTACTTTGAGAACCCAGAGAGAATAATGCTATAGAAATACAAATTGATGAAAAAATCAGGGAACTAGTGTTCCACAAAGAATTTTTCTATTACGTCAGGCTCTCCTTATAACAAAAAAAAAAAAAAAAAAAAGACCAATTCCCCCTTTAATTCACATTGGAAGATCTGTGCGAGTGACAACACATGCCACAACAATCACACATGCTCATTATCATCCTCATGGGTTATCACAAACTATGCGTAAATCCGTCACACCGCTTCCTAAAATCAGCAGGTGTCTGAGCTCCCTCAGCCTAAGGCATAACAACAGCCCCAGGGGTCTGGAGCGGCATTGTGCAGCTGCAACATACCATCCGGGATCGTCAAACCAAAAATGTCATTTTTCATGGACAGCTCTAAATTATAATTCTATTTTTCTTTCGCTTGCTACCCATAATGATAACTGCTGGCTATGATAGCACCGTCTAATTGTAGATATTGGTCCTTTATAAGTAATACTGTAATAGCATGATACATGGTCGTATAATTGTTGTGTGTGACTTGAACATTGTCACATTATCATGTCAAGCCTCCCTATGCAGACAGGGAGCTCCTCACTGTTCTGGAAGCTTCTACTTATATTCTCAGTAGCGCGCTGGACTTAAATTACTGTCACAGGTTAAAGAAAAATTCAAGGTGTGGCTTTTTATACAGTTACATTAGTGCAGCTTGGAACAATGTAACTATACATATACTATACCAGTGGGATCCTTGTGGAAGGCTCCTACAACTTCCAGGTCCCATGCACAGTGACTGCCTGCTGCATTCTGCACACAGGCAGTCAGCTATTACAAAAAATACAAAACATTCTCTTGTTGGGGCTTGCAGTATGGTTTTACAGGAAGGGATGTCTCCATGTTGTTCTTCTGCCGGCTATCGTTGGGGCTCTTTAAGAAATGTTAGTGCATTTAATGGATGTTTAGCAAACAAGCATGCAGTAAAGATGCAGAAAGGGTGCGGTATACAGTAGGTACAGTACAAGTGTAGCACTGGAGCAGTATTTGATTGGATAAGGCTGTGGAGAGGTGGGGCAGTGACAGGGTCAATCAGTGCTGACCAGAACAAGGGTCAGGGGTTATGCAGCCTCATAGAACAGCCAGGGGAGAATGAAAACTCCTCCGACAAGAGTAACCAGTGCTCAGCTGGATACTGATATAAGTCACAAGACTGCTTTAATTGCTGATGATAAAAGGTATTTAGCAGTTTATATTTACTAAAATAATTGCATTTCCATGTTGTGTGTACTGTGGGAGACCAGATATAGTGAGTGCAGGGTCCAGGGAGACCAGATATAGTGAGTGCAGGGTCCAGGGAGACTGGATATAGTGAATGCAGGGTCCAGGGTTTAGTAACACTTTAATGTGGATTGCTCTTCAGAGAGCACCGCACTCTGCCGGAAGAGTGAAAAAGGAGCAGCACAAAATGTGCTAAGAATAATTAATATAATAATGCAGACCCATAGCAGCCAATCAAATGTCACCCCTCATCAGATAAGGGCAGTCTGAAAAACAAAGGACACTTGCTGACCGGCTGCTATTGCACCTTGCACATTACCTTTATCTTATAGAAATACACTTACATTGGTCAGTTTTTTATGAAGACCCTTTAAGAGTAACCAGTATCAAATCCCCTATGAGTCTGGAGAGCACTGTGATTTTATCTCTACAGAACCGCTACCAGCTGTCCTTATTTGCATACAACAAGATTGCATTGACCCGTATGTATTTATCACCCTCAAAGTCATTTCTGTGTTGTCACTAATGCATTTGAAAGTAGTCGGTTTCATTAAGTGTCACTGGGCTCTTCCTTAAATTCTGCTGTACTGGCTGCCAAGATATACATCTGACAAGGGCAACCTGAAAATGTGTTGTTGCTGCCAATTGCAGCTGACACATTTATTGACAGATATTTATATCTACTGCTGGGCAACACTTATTCAGTGGTAAATACTCAGACTATTCAGTACATTCTGTCTGTGGATCAGTGAAAAGCCAGCACACATTTAAAGCGTTACTAAATCCACAACAGTAAAATCAGTTTGTATATTTAATAAAAAATGCTTGTTATACTCACTGTGGAACCTAGGGGGGTTAATTCTGTCTATTGTGTAAAACATCTGTTTGATCCTGTCTTCTCTGATCCTCCCCTTCATCCATCTGCTTATAGTACAGAGCTCTAGGAATCACTCTGCACATGCTCAATTTAGTGTGTGTTGCTATAGAGTTTTGTTTTTTCTTTGGGAGGGTGTATGTGATCAGCACAGGGCCAATCAGTGCTATCCAGACAGAGGGTCAGGGGTCTTGCAGCCTCATGAGCAGAATTAAAACTCCTCCTTCAAACCTTAACCAGTGGTCAGCAGGACACTGATAGAAGTCACAAGACTGCTATATACTGATGATGAGAAAAGGTATTTATCAGGGTATTTAGCAATTTTAGTAAATTTTATATTTACTAAAGTAATTGCATTTCCATGTTGTGTGTACTGTGGGAGACCAGACATAGTGAATGCAGGGTCCAGGGAGACCAGATATAGTGAATGCAGGGTCCGGGGAGACCAGATATAGTGAATGCAGGGTCCGGGGAGACCAGATATAGTGAATGCAGAGTCCTGGGAAACCAGATATAGTGAATGCAGGGTCCGGGGAGACCAGATATAGTGAATGCAGGGTCCTGGGAGACCAGATATAGTGAATGCAGGGTCTAGGGAGACCAGACATAGTGAATGAAGGGTTCTGGGTTTAGTAACACATTAACTCATGTACACTGCTCAAAAAAATTAAAGGAACACTGTTTAATCAGAGTATAGCATCAAGTCAATTAAACTCCTGGGATATTGATCTGGTCAGTTAAGTAGCAGAGGAGGATGTTAATCAGTTCCAGCTGCTTTGGTGTTAATGAAATTAACAACAGGTGCACTAGATGGGCAACAATAAGACTACCCCCAAAACAGGAATGGTTTTTACAGGTGGAGGCCATTGACATTTTTTTCCCTACTCATCTTTTCTGCCTGTTTTTCACTAGTTTTGCATTTGGCTAGGGTCAGTGTCACTACTGGTAGCATGAGGCAATACCTGGACCCTACAGAGGTTGCACAGGCAGTCCAACTGGCCATTGCCAGAAGGTTTGCTGTGTTTCCCAGAACAGTCTCAAGAGCATGGAGGAGATCCCAGGAGACAGGCAGTTACTCTAGGAGAGCTGGACAGGGCTGTAGAAGGTCCTTAACCGATCAGCAGGACTGGTATCTGCTCCTTTGTGCAAAGAGGAACAGGATGAGCACTGCCAGAGCCCTATAAAATAACCTCCTGCAGGCCACTGGTGTGAATGTCTCTGACCAAACAATCAGAAACAGACTTCATGAGGGTGGCCTGAGGGCCCGACATCATCTAGTGGGCCCTGTGCTCACTGCCCGGCACCATAGAGCTCAATTGGCATTTGCCATTTAACACCATAATTGGCAGGTCCACCACTGGCACCCTGTGCTTTTCACAGATGAGAGAAGGTTCACCCTGAGCACATGTGACAGACGTGAAAGGGTCTGGAGAAGCCGTGGAGAATGTTATGCTGCCACTAACATCATTCAGCATGACCGTTTTGGTGGTGGGTCAGTGATGGTCTGGGGAGACATATCCATGGAGGGATGCACAGACCTCTACAGGCTAGACAATGGCACCCTGACAGCCATTAGGTATCAGGATGAAATCCTTGGACCCATTGTTAGACCCTACGTTGGTGCAGTGGGTCCTGGGTTCCTCCTGGTGTATGACAATGCCCAGCCTCATGTGGTAAGAGTATGCAGGTAGTTCCTGGAGGATGAAGGAATTGATACCATTGAATGGCCCCCATGCTCGCCTGACCTAAATCCAATAGAACACCTCTGGGAAATCATATTTTGGTCCATCCGATGCTGCCAGATTGCACCTCAGACTGTCCAGGAGCTCAGTGATGCCCTGGTCCAGATCTGAGAGGAAATATCCTAGGACACCATCCGTCATCAAGCATGTGGGGTCATACAAACTACTGAGTACCATTTTGAGTTGCTGCAATGAAATTTCAGCAAAATGGACTAGCCTGCTGCAGTATGTTTTCACTTTGATTTTCGGGGTGTCTTTGAATTCAGTCGTCTGACCTAAATCCAATAGAACACCTCTGAGATATCATGTTTCGGTCCATCCAACGCCTCCAGGTTGCACCTCAGACCTCAGACTGTCCAGGAGCACAGTGATGCCCCAGTCCAGTTCTGGAAGGAAATACCCCAGGACACCATCCGTTGTCTCATTAGGAGCATGCCCCGACATTGTCAGGCATGCATACAAGCACGTGGGGGCCATACAAACTACTGAGGACCATTCTGAGTTGCTGCAATGAAATTTCAGCAAAATGGATGAGCCTGCTGCATCATTTTATCACTTTGATTTTTGGGGTGTCTTTGAATTCAGTCCTCTGTAGGTTGATCATTTTCATTTCCATCAAACGATGGGGCATCCTTACATTCCTAACACATTACTCAGTCCATATCAGTATAGATATCCAGCATAATATTTTTCCCCATTGAGGTCAGATGTGTTTTCCAAGTGTTCCTTTCATTTTTTTGAGCAGTATATATGGCTAGGTTCACATTTGTGCATTGCAAAATCACATGCACTCCAGCAGAGTACAGAAAACATACATTTCTTTTGCACACATGTGGCAGTGCCATTAATTCTTAATGACACCCCAATGCACCTTACTAACGTGAGCACAAAATTGTGTGCCATACCACATGGTTGCAAGTTTCATGGGCTTTGGTGCAGTGCAAATAAAAATATGGGTACTGCACTTTTGTGATTTGGATGTGGTAGGCTTAAAGGTGTGAAAAAATTAGTATATGTTAAATTTGCCATATCATGTGTATGTGAACCAAAACTTAGCTCACCTTTGCTAAAAAACTGCCTATGCAGGTAAGGGGTGTCTGTAGATAAAAAAAAGTTTTCAGCTTTGTCTAAAGCTGGATAATGAACTTGCTATAGGTCTTGACAATTTAAGTACCTCACAAAGCCTGGCTGAAAAACTCCCAGCCCACCATCACAGAAGAAAGCTCTCAAATCCCCACACATGTGCGGTCCACTAGCTTCTCATCATTGGTAAGCTCTTAGCTACTGCAACAGGGGAGGGAGAGTGCAAGTAAGGGGGCGTTGAATCGTCTAGGAATGTCTTAACCACGTCCTACCAACAAGGCAGGGTACGATGATGCCATCTCTGGGAGTTTTTCAGCCAAGCTTCGGGAGGTACATAAATGGCCTACACATATAGAAAGGACATTGTCCAATTTTGGTCAAAGCTGAGCAGTTTGTTTTTATCTACAGGCACCCTTACCTGCATAGGCAGTTTTTTTAGGAAAGGTGAAATGGCATTTTAACCAGTTGTTGCCCGGCCTATAGCCAGATGGCGGCCGGGCGAGCAGCTCGTCCCCCCTCCGGGTGGACAACATATGGCGTCCTTTCAGGCATGTGCAGTGCGCCTGCCCGCAGGGCCGCTCTGTAGCACGATCTGTCACCGGCCATGTACCTCGGAAACGGCCGATGACAGATCTGTGTACAGGCCCCGTTTTCAGCAGATCACATGACAGTTGTATACAATGGATGGCTTCCTTTCATGCCATCCATTGTATACAAGTGTGTCTAGCTGTGAATGGTCACAGCGATCACATGCATAAGCTGGGCCAATCACAGTCCCAGCTGTGTCATGTAATTAGCCGTGGCCAAATCACAGCTAAGCACAAAAAAAAAAAAACCCTGAATGAATCGATGTCATTCAGGTAAATGCTTGCTTATAGCAAAGTAATTATTTGCTATAAGCAAATTGTGTAAAAAAATAAAAACTGATCACTTACCCAAAGTAGTACAATGTTACTATGGAAACATTGTACTACTTTGGTCATAGTGAAATATGAAAAAAAATCTTAAAAAAAGAGAAAAAATGTAATAAGAAATTAAAACTAATAAAAAAATATATATATATTTTTTTTAAATTATCAATATTTCTTTTCACACTGTCACCAGTCAGTGTCCCTGATTACCGCCATGCCAGTTATATGATGACGCTGTACTGCACTGGTGACCGTATGTAAAAAAAAAAAGTGAAAATTTTCATTTTCCAAAAAATTATGACAAAAAAATTACAACTTCAAAAAACTCTCCATGAATCTTATGAAATACATCGGACTGTCTACTTTCAAAAAGGGATCATTTGGGGATATCTGTACTGTTCTGACATTCTTGTACCTCAAGAAATTATATTGGCCGTCAGTACTTCAGGACTGATCAATATTCAGATATATCCCATAGTTTGTGAACTCTATAACTTTCCTACAGACTAAATAATACATCCTAATTTGGGTTATTTTCACCAAAGAAATGTAGCAGAATACATCTTGGCCTAAATTTATGAAGAACAATTATTATTTGCAAACTTTTATAACAAAAAACAAAGAAAAACGTGTTTTTTTTTCAAAATTTTCAGTCTTTTGTTGTTAATTTAGCAAAAAATAAAAATCCCAGCGGTGATTAAATACCACCAAAAGAAAGCTCTAGTTGTGTGAAGAAAATGATAAAATTTTAGTTTGGGTACAGTGTTGTATGACTGCGCAGTTGTCATTCCCCCACCCTCACCTAACAGCCGCTGCCCTTCCCTCCTCCTACCACTCCATCCCCCACAGCCATTTCCTCCTGTACCATTACCCCCTCCCTCCTAGATTGTAAGCTCGAAAGAGTAGGGCCCACTTACCCCTTGTGTGCTGTTTGAAGTTACTGTACTGTTTCATGTATTGTCCCCCCCTCTATTGTACAGCGCTGAGCAAACCCTTTGGCGCTATATAAACTCGATAAATAAATAAATAAATTCAAAGTGTGAGAGCGCTGAAACCTGAAAAATGGCCTGGGCAGAAAGGGGGTAAAATGCCCGGTATGGAAGTGGTTAGGATGGAAATCAGAATCTTTTTAGAAGGCAATGGGATGGCCAGAATGCCCATGGGGTCATATTTTAAAGTATATGTGAACCCTCGCCTTGTAAAACAACCTATTCAGTTTAAACTAGAAATACAAGGCAAAATGTTTAAGTGTATAGCAAATGTACATTCCAAATGGGTACCCAGCTGATATTTGGAATGTACATTTGCTATACACTTGATAAAGTGTGGTTGAAAGTTGAGAACTTGTGAGTCACTCCCCTCTGCTATTTTTTTGTGGTATCAGAGTTCATCTTTACCCTGGATATTTGCACACGGAATGTTTTTGCTTCATGTATATTAGTCATATGCTATGGGATGGTTATAGGTGACCTAGTGATGATTCACCACTAGGGGCTAATATGGCAGCAGTTAGATTAGGCAGTTTTTTTATATATATATACTATTACTCATCCAAGTGTCTGGGGGGATTTTGGTGTATATGGTATGTGTAGGTACGTGCATTCATCCGTATAGGTGGTCTTTGAGTGTTTTTACATCGTGGGTAATATCGGAGCTGTTTTATGTATTGAGATATATGTGGGACCTGTGCATTTGTGACCATAGATGGGTATGTTCATAGATTTACCACTAGGGGGCTATATGGCATAGCATGTCTTGGCATTTATGCACATATATAATTATCCATGTATCTATGGGATTTTTGTTTAATATGGGATGTATAGGATTGCATTTGTTACTATATAAGAGTTTGTAATAGATTTTAAAGTATAAGTATCAGATACAATCCAGTTTTGAAGTAATCCCTTTTGTAAGATGGCAGATTAGCATATGTGGGCAGAAGTTCACTATATAAGAGCCAGCCGCATGTCTAACGTGTACATCCTTTGACAAAGTCGTAACG